AGTGGTAGTATGCTGTTGAGACAGAGAGAGGGAGGGGCTACAAAGTAATAGGTCATCCACATACTGGAGAAGGAGACTGGGTTGGAGGGGGTAGGAGCTAAGGTCAGCTGCTAAGCCTTGTCCGAAAATATGGGGGCTGTGTCTAAACCTCTGGGGCAGGACTGTCCAGGTGAGCTGCTGTGACAGGTTGGTGTCAGGATCAGTCCAGGTGAAGGCAAAAAGGAAGACTCTGGGTGAAGTGGAATAGTAAAGAAGGCGTCCTTGAGGTCAAGAACCATAAAATGAGAGGTAGTGGAGGGAATGTTGGATAATAGGGTGTATGCGTTGGGGACCACCAGGTGGATGGGTACCATCGCCTCGTTGATGAGGCGTAGATCCTGAACTAGGTGGTAGTCGCCGGACGGCTTCTGGACCGGCAAGATAGGAGTATTACAAGGGGAACTGGTGGGGATTAGGAGTCCCTGGGCCAGAAGTCGGGTGATGGTAGGCTTTAGGCCCTGGCGGTGGGTTTTTGAGATGGGAAACTGAGGACGTGAGGGAAAGGGGTAGAGTTCTTCAGGAGTATTTTAACTGGTGTGTGATGTCTGGCCACCACAGGCTTGGAGGTATCCCATACCGAGGGATTAACTTCACTTCATTAGGAGGAATAGGGGGTTGAGGCCAGGGGTCGAGACAAGGTGTGATACTGGTTAGGAGTAGCAGTAGGAGGTGGGCAGAGGATGGGCTTGAATGTGGGGGGAGCAGTGAATTGGAGGGTGGCCCCTACAGTCTGGAGAATATCTCGTCCTAAGTGGGGGACTGGGCATAAGAGTATGATGAGAAAGGAGTGGGAGAAAGGGTGTCACTCAAGGACATAGGCTAAGGGATGAGTTTGGTGAGGACAGGAGGGCTTTCCGTCAATCCCCATGACTGAAACCTGGGAAGGTATGCTAGGTCCTGAGTAGGAAGGCAACACAGAATAGGTAGCCCCCATATCCATTAAAAAAGAAATGGACTTACTCGCTACCTGCAGCATTACCCTGGGCTTGACGAGGGTGATGGGGGTCCTCGAGTCTGGGCTGCGCCAGTCATCCAGAAGGCCGAGAAGTTCAAGCGAAGGGACTCCTTCCTGCGGACTGGCCTGCCCTCCACATAGAGGTGTGGGGGGTGAGCCTGCAGCCCAGGACAGGCAGTCAACCTTCCAGTATTTAGTCTGTTTGCAGCTTGGGCAGGGTCCAGGAGGTGGATGAGGACAGGGGCACTGCCATGCCCAGTGTCCCTCCTGGCCACATCTGAAACAGGGCCCAGGCGGGGCCTTTGAGGGTTTCGATGGACCCCCTCTACTGGATGTTTGGTGGGCTGCTACAAGAGCTCGGGTTTGGAGGCCTACCTTTTGCTGTAAACAGGCCTGGTGGGTGGCCTCAGCCTTTTCCTCTAGGCCATTGAAAACTTTAAATGCCATGTTCACCAGGTCCCGTATGGGGGTTTGGGGGCCCTCCTCAGCTTTTTAAAGTCTCCTCCTTTTATCAGCTGCCGACTGGAAGATGACATGAGTGGCTAGGACTGTAGCCCCTGCTAAGGAGGCTGGATCTAGCCAGGTATGGAGGATCATAGCATTAGTTAATTGGTCTAGGAAGGCAGCTGGGTTTTCATCAGGACCCTGAGTTATTTTCCCTTAACTTGTCATAATTAACTACCTTTTGAGCTGCACTTTGCATGCCCGTTAAGAGGCACTGTAGCATTTGGTCTTGGCGGCGGCGGCCACCTTGACTGGTTTGATAGTCCCAATTAGGGTCGACCTCGGGGTCCAACACTGCACCTACTGACATTTGATTGTTTGTGAGATGTACCTGATCAGTGTGAGCTTGGGCTGCTGTAAGAATGTGGTCACACTCATCAGGAGTAAGAGTGGAGGACAGGATCACATAGGTGTCGTGCCAGGTTAGGTCGTATGCCTGGGTGAGGTAATGAAATTCTTTGGTATAAGCAGTAGGATTGGTAGAAAATGACCCTAGGCGTTTTTCAATGGCTGACAGATCTGAAAGAGAGAAAGGAACGTGCACTTGGACAATGCTTTCTGCTCCGGCTACCTCACGCAAAGGGCAGATGAGTGGGGGGTCATGAGAGCAGGTGTGAGCACTGACAGGGGAAGTCATATTAGGGCTTTGGGGAGGAGAAGGAGAAGAGGGAGGAGGGAGTTGAGGCCTTGCATAAGGAGGGAGGTTGGTAAAGCAGGCGGGGCAAGACAGGTCTTCCGGGTCTTCGGAGAGTGCAGAGCCAGGCAGGGCTGAAGGTAAAGGCGGGGTTTTGGCTAACAGAACCTGGGCAGAGGAACAAGAGGAGCAGAGGGGCGTCAGGAGTGAAGGTACCAGAAAGCCTGTACGTAGGGGACCTCTGACCATTTGCCATTCTTTTGGCAGAAGTTGTCTAAGTCTGTCAGGACATTAAAGTCTAGTGTGCCCTCTCGAGGCCACTTAGACTGGTTGTCTAGGGGGTACTGTGGCCAGGCCATGGTAGAGAGGAAAAGCAGCCTTTTCCTTTTAATGGAGAGACCCAGTTTGGGTAGATTTTTTTGCTAGGCATCCCAGTGGTGACTTGGGGTCTGGGCGAGATTTCTGATTGCCCATAGTTCACTTTTTGCGGGGTAGCCAAGGGTAAGGAAGGAATATAAAAAGGTATCATCCCCAACCCAGGAAGAAGTATTCTTTTCCCGGAGGGGGTGGCTGAGAGAGCTTACAGGCTGTAACAATGTAATGATTATAACAAGAAGGAGAATTAAAAGAGAGAGTGAGGCCTCAGTAGTAGAAGAATAGGAGGAAAAAAGAAAACTGAGTTACTTAATTAACAAGAGCTTATTTGCCAAAAAGGGCTGATCTGAGAATTTGAGATAGACGTTTTAGTACCGTAAGCTGGAGATTTGGTCCTGCTGTTAGGCAGGGCCTGGGTCTACAAACAGGGCTTCTGAATACCCAAACCTCGGCTGCTGCTGTGGAGATGTTCGGAAGGCATCCTGGAGTGCACTACTGAACACCGGAGAGGGTTTAGGAAGATGGGGACATCTCCCTCAAATTCCTGACCCCCAGAATCCCCTCACAGGGAGAAGACAAGAGTGTAGGGATGTCTCCTCTATGCTCAGGTCCTCGAGATGAGACCGGGGCCCCGAGCCCATGGCGAGAAATGAGAAGGAGTCCCCGACGCGGCTGCAGTTACGAGCAGGGAGTCCACGAGAATACGAGAGGGTTCAGGAAGGTGGGGATGTCTCCCTCAGAATCCTGACGCTGAGATCTTCTCCTCATGGGGAGAAGACAAGAGTGTAGGGACATCTCCTCTATGCTCAAGTCCTCGAGACGAGGCTGGGACCCTGGGCCCATGGCGAGATGAGAAGGAGTCCCTGAGACAGCTGCGATTGTGAGCAGGGAGTCCATGAGGCAGGCAGCGGGAGAGACTGTGGGTAACAGAAGTCTTACCTTGTGATGGAGCAGTTCCCTGTTACCTTGCGATGGAGCGGTTCCCAGGTCCGGCTTCGGGTGGCAGAGTCAGTTTCCCTCAGGAGGGGTCTTACAACTTCTCCCAGGTTTTGGCACCACTTGTAAGGGTTATTGTCATGCGAGGTTTATTGTGAGTTAAAAATGAGGAAACTGAGGTCATCACAAAAAGATTAAATGCCAATTTATTCAGCTCCCGGGCAAGGTTCTGTGGTCCCGGGGAAAGAGGCCAGAGAAGTCACACCTAACTCCTCTGGGTGTGGGGTTTATAGGGAGTGAAGGCATTCGATTGGCTGTGGAGAAACAGGACATGGTCGTGGCAAGCTGCTATAGGTAGGTAGGCAGGATTTCCGGATGCGGCAATGTGCTATTGGGCAGGTTTTGGCAGGGCTTTCCAAGGGTGAGCTAGGTGCCGAGTGCAGAGGGGATTTCCAAGGGCAGGGTTGAGTGCTGAGTGCAGAGGAGATTTCCAAGGTGGAGCTAGATGATGGGCATATTCTGGTGATGTAATTTTCAGGTGGGGAGAGGGATGGGCGTGTCCAAGCTCCTGGCAAGGCAACCAGCCTTACATTCAAGAAATTTGTCAATTAGAGCTTAAGCATTCTTGACAGTGCAGGTTCTGACAGCTGACTTCTGCTCTCAGGCTTCTGCTCCCTGCAAGCCGTGATCCTTTATAATATTACTCTGCAGTTTTCAGAACAGCAGTTTACCCTGTGATCTCAATTCTCTGATGGATATAAGAAGAGTTACTTTTGGTTCATTCAGCTTTTTCCTTGTTGTGACACTAGGAATGACAACTTCGAAGGTTATTACATGTTGGAGTGAAACTGGAATTCCATAAGTTGCTCTTTAATGATCATTTTGCAAAAGTGGCTATCACAATAGAATCAAGGTATTGAGTTATTGATGGGTGAGTTTTTTTGGTCATAATTAGGTTGATCATTTTAACGATCTGTAACTTGCTTTCAAATTAAAAATTTTAAGACATAACATAGCACACAAATACTCATTCTTACAATTTTTTTTTACATTGCTCTCCCATGAAACTGTACACTGCTTAATGAGGAAAATGTTTAACCACTTTTGATGTTTAAATTTTAAAAACTATATAAAATAGAGATTTAAAGAATATAAGTATTAGCCACTTAGGGATCATCATTTTGTATATATTTAACATTGGCTATCCTGTAATTTGATTTTATTAAACAAAATACAACAGTATGTATTTTCTTTTACCAGGAATGTTTTATAGTGCAATAATTCTGTCAGTTGTTAATCATATAAACTCAGCCAGAAATAGAGCTTTTTGTTCATGCTATTATGGTCTTTATCAGACTTGGAAATTCTTATACTTAATAAAACAACTGCAGTTTTACAGTGGCAAAAATGATAAAGATTGGTTTAATTTATTGTAATTACCAATAGAATATTTCCCATAAAATATAAGCTTAATTAGGAAGCATTGTTTTAAAATTACAATTTGAGAAGCTTTTAAGATAGCAAATTTGATTTTAAATCCTATTTCTTTTTGCTTAGGTTACTTCCAACTGTAATTGATCAGAAATCATTTGCTTTCCCTCTGGAATCTGAGGGTAAACTTTGGCAACCACAAAGACAGCACAGTTCATCTCTGCCTATCTTTCCAAGAGCAAAGGTAGGAACAGCGAAATTCAGAGAGAAAGGAAGTAGATTAATGATTGCCAGGGCTGGGAGGAGCAGAGCCTAGGAGTGGCTTCTAATGGGTATGAAGTTTCTTTGGGGGACAATGAACATGTTCTAGAATCATATAGTGGTGATGACACTCTGAGTATAGTAAACACCATTTAATTTTATACTTTAAAAATGTGAATTTTATGGTATATTAATTACATCTCGATGAAGCTGTTAAAAACTTTTTGAAAGAGTAAAGTAGGAAATTTGCTTTGTGTTCTAAGTTAGAAAACATGATGAATGTATAGGCCCGTTTCTCTAATTTCATTTTATAGTTGTTTCAGGTATATTCATGGCATAGTCAATTTCTACAACAAAAGAGTTTTCTTCAGAAGAAAATAAATCAAGGCATAATGCCATCACATTTTTTAATAGAGCCAGGTGGCAAGGAATAGAGCTCAGTAAGTTTCTGACTTTGCCCCCATTGAGTGTTCTCTCAATTTTCTATCTGGAATACCATAAACTGGGTGGCTTAAACAATAGAAGTCTATTTTTTACAGCTCTGGAGACTGGAATTCAAAGGTCAAGGTGCTGGCAGATATGGTGTCTGGTGTGGTCCTTCTTCCTGGTTTACAGACAGCCTTCTTCTTTGTTCCTTCACATGGCAGAGAGAGAGAGGGAAAAAAAACCCAGCAAGCTTTTGTGTCTGTTTTTATAAGGGTATTGATCTCATTCATGACGGCTCTACCCTCATGAGCTAATTATCTCCCAAAAACCTCACTTGCTGATACTGTTACATTGGGTTAGGATTTCAACATATGGGTTTTGGTGGTGGGGGCACAAACATTCAGTCCATAGCACTCCCTGACTCAAAAGTAAGACTAGCTCACCTCTTTTGGGTAGCAGGAAGTGTTATTAGCTTTGAAAATACTAACTTGTTTGAACTTCAGAACAATCCTAGAAGGAGGTATTATTATTATTATTATTATTATTGATTTTGAGACAGAGTTTTGTTCTTGTAACCCAGGCTGGAGTGGAGTGGCGTGATCTTGGCTCACTGCAACCTCCACCTCCTGGGTTCAAGTGATTCTCCTGCCTCAGCCTTCTGAGTAGCTCAGATTACAGGCTCCCACCACCATACCATGCTAATTTTTGTATTTTTAGTAGAGACAGGGTTTTGCCATGTTGGCCAGGCTGTTCTTGAACCTGTGACCTCAGGTGATACATCTGCCTCGGCCTTCCACAGTGCTAGGATTACAGGTGTGAGCCACTGTGCCTGGTCCCTCTATGATATCTTTTTTCTTTAATAGCTTTATTGAGATATCATTTGCATACCGTAAAATTCACCCTTTTAGAATATTCAGTAGGTTTTTTTTAAGCACATTTGAAGAGTTGTACAGCTATTATATGGTACCCTTTTTACAACTGATTGTGTCACCCTATATTTTTCCTTCATCACACTTGCCATAGATTGTAATTATATAGTGAGCTGTATAACTTTTTTTTTTTTTTTTGAGATGGAGTCTTGCTCTGTTGCCTAGTCTGGAGTACAGTGGGGCAGTCTTGGTTCACTGGAACCTCTGCCTCCCCTGTTCAAGCAATTCTCTGCCTCAACTTCCCAAGTGGCTGGGATTACAGGTGCCTGCCACCACGCCCAGCTAATTTTTGTATTTTTAGTAGAGACAGGATTTCACCATCTTGGCCAGACTGATTTTAAACTCCTGACCTCATGATCCACCCACCTCAGCCTCCCAAAGTGCTGGGATTACAGGTGTGAGACACCATGCCCAGCCAGTTGTATGATTTTTTAAATGTCTATCTTCCCACTAGATTATAAGATTAATGAGGGCAGTATCTATATCAGTTTGTTCATTGCTATATTATGCCTAGGATGGGGGCCATAGGCTCTTGACCTCCTAAAAGCTTGTTGAAAATCACTAACATGAGGCAGATTGATTAATAGGAGAAAAGCCATTTTATACATTTATTTAACATGTATACACAGGAGCCTTCAGTATGAAGACCCATCATCCCAAAAAGTTATAGAAGCTGATATATCATCTTGAGGTTACAGAAAGAATGGGGACTCAGGGCATGGCCAAAACCAAGTTATGTTTATAAATCAGGTTCATTGACAAGACCGTTATGAGAGGGAGTAAAGAGGAGGCTTGACTAGCGAAGTCAGCCTTGTGTGTAGATGCAGCCTCCCTCAGAGAGAATAGATGGCAAATGTTTCTTTTCAGTCATTTAAAGGTATTAGACTCAATCACTTCCAGATCCAGGAAATGACTGGAAAGGTGGGGCTCGGCTGCATTGATGGAGATTCTCTACAGAAGCAAAATTTCCCCATAAAAGACAGCTTTGCAAGACCACCTCTGTTTGCTGGTCCTGTGACAACTATTTCAAAATATGTCAAAGATATATATTTGGGGATAAAATATTTTTGTTTGCTTCACAAAGGATTCTCCATAAATGTTTGTTGGGTGGTTAAATGAAAGCACCACAGTGAACTCTAAGAGTGTGCTCATGTGACCTCTCAAAATAACCATCTCCTATCTCTGTCCTTGTACTTGTTAGATAGGGTCTGTCAGCCACTCTCTGAGGAGTGCTTACTGTGTGCCTAGGATTATTAGAGGCCCACTGGGCTGAATAAGACAGATCAGATCCCTGACATCAGAGGGCTTCTATTCTAGTGGGGAAAGACAGGCCATCAATAAGATAATACCAGACAAGGATAAAAGCTCTGATAAAAATAAAACAGAATGCTGTTGTAAAGGGAGCTTAAACTTCTCCTCTTCCTTACTATTAAATCACTGCTTCAGTTAATTTTTTCCTTGTTTGCCAGGAATCTCAGGAGGTTCACAGTTGGTCCTCAAGACCAGAGATTAGATGGAGGTCTCTGATTTATAAGAACAATGAAATAAAGTATCTGAAGTTAGGCCATTTTAGAATGTATAATTGCTATTATTGTTCCTGGTATGGCCAGAAATTCATTTGCCCCAAAGAGCTCTAAATCCTGGCTAATGTTCATGAAGATGTGCTGTATTCTTTTAAATGCTTTGAGCATGGTGAGCTTCACTTAAAAAGGGACATGGACTATTTCCCACCCTGACTTTGCCTTCAGAGCCTGGATTATTATTGTTGTTGTATTTCTAATATCTGTGACATCTGCTTAAAAATGCATATCCTCTGACACAAAAGATAGCCCTTATTTTGCCCTGTAAAGTCCAAGACAAACAATGCTGTCTTGTCAGCTGTTACGCATGCCTACTATGCCAACATAAAAGCTTGTATTATTAAGTAGTTGTGAAATTCAACTGCGATATTACTATTTTTAATTGCCCACTTCTAGCCTTTTAAACTAGATAAACCCCAGTCACTTCTTTAAGCTCTCTCTTCCCAAAAGTGCACAGCTGTTTTTGAAATTCACACCAAAAAGCTTAAATGACAGGAGTTGCTCAGTTGTAATTAAGAATCATAATTTATAATTGTTTATTAAGTCTCTTTAAATTTGAAAAAGCATACTCAGAAAAATTTACAATTTAAAATAGAAAGGTTGCACTAATCTTTCACTTTCTGAGGTTTTCTCTTGAAAAAAATCAGTGATGAAATATCAGTATGTAGAATTGGAATATTAAGTCTGATTTTTAGAATTTGCAGATAACCGTGGGCAAAATCAACATGGACTCTGTTTTTTCTTATTAAAATACAATTTTTTAATTACTAATGCATGCTTGTTGTGACAAACATAATGTAAAGATGTAAAGGCAAAGCCAGTTGTTTCACCCCCACCCTCTACCAAACCACCCAATCCCATGAGGCCACCAGTGTTAACAGTGGGTTGTATTTGTCCACTCATTTCCCTTTGTAATAATGTATATACAGTACAAGTACATATTCAGATATGTAGAGTTTTAGTTGGTTATGAATTTTTTTGCTTTTACTGAAATAGATAACATTTTGAATCATGCAAATAAAAAACATTTTTGGGAGCTGGGCGCGGTGGCTCACCCCTGTAATCCCAGCACTTTGGGAGGCCGAGGCGGGTCAAGAGATCGAGACCATCCTGGTCAACATGGTGAAACCCCGTCTCTACTAAAAATACAAAAAATTAGCTGGGCATACTGACGTGTGCCTGTAGTCCCAGCTACTCAGGAGGCTGAGGCAGGAGAATTGCCTGAACCCAGGAGGCGTATGTTGCGGTGAGCCGAGATCGCGCCATTGCACTCCAGCCTGGGTAACAAGAGCTAAACTCCGCCTCAAAAAAAATTTTTTTTTGTTCGCAAATGCTATGTATGAAGTTTTGTTAGTATAATTATTCACATAAAATATATGCTATTTTATGCTTATAAAACAGGATAAAAATGTAGCATGGTGTGATATTTCTGAGTTTTTTTCTATTGACCGACTATGACAACAAAAGAGGGAAAATGGAACCCTGTAGGTTCTGGGGTAGAGTCTGAAGAGCTCAAAGTAAGTGGGAAATATCTTTGATAGCTCATGCTTTGGTATATAAATTATAGCAATTTTTCACTCCATTTCATTATATATCCATTTTTGGTTCAATATAAAAGTAATGGATTTTACTTTAAAATATTAGATAAAACACATGCCCCAAATAATGTGTCTCTTGTTTGTTATGTTCCTATCATACTACCACATACTCCCAGTAGTGCCCCAATTTGAGAAGTAGAGGATTGTACAGCATCTATGTATTCATTTACCAAACATTTTAAAATTTTTACTTGTTTCACTTGTTTTTTATTTTTGTGAGTACATAGTAGGTGTACATATATATGGGGTACATAGGATATTCTAGTATAGGCATCCAATGCATAATAATCACATCAGGGTAAATGGGGTAGCTATCACCTCAAGCTTGTATTTATCCCTGTGTTACAAACACTCCAACTATACTGTTTAGTTATTTTTAGTGTACAGTAAATTATTACTGGCTGTAGTTGCTCTGTTCTACTGTCAAATACTAGTTATTGTTCATTCTTT